TGTCGTTTTGTTTCGAACTTATGTCGAAATGATCAAACTATAATTCTGTCAATACAAACTAAATGTACACAATTTCAGCTCAATCCATTGATGATATCTGCTTCAAATACAATTACAAAATTCTGCTACACAAACGTACATAAGTACATTGGCCAGCAGATCAGTTACTCTAATCTATCAAATTTACTCATTCGATTTTCGACTTAATATCAATAACATAAAGTTGAAGATCTAGTAGAGAAATTTGACACAGAAGGCTAGAATGATTCTGCTGGCCACCGTACATGGCAATTTAAACTGTCAAACACCGCAAGGACTCTGGTGACCGCAACCTATTGTTCTTAAATTGTGTCTATAATGATCGTACTCAAAGGGTTAAATAAAAAAAAATAAAAAAAAAGTAAAAGAGAAGTCAAATTTTCTACATCGGGGGTTTCGAGAGTTTCCTCCTCCTAAGCACATCTTCCAGAACTCACCACAAACCTTAGCTTCAAATGCTCACGCATGGTAATGTTATATCATCTGACTGCTCACACACCAAGTTATGTCTCAAGGACACCTTTACCGCGTAGAAACGGACTTCTCCACTTAAACTACACGAAGTATCTATCACGACCCATACATGCCGAAAACTTTAATTGCGACATTTAGGATTTTTGAAAAAAAAAAGTTTTTGGGTATTCGGGGTACCTATTGTTATTAGGGTACGTGGTGACAAGTAGTCGCCAGGCAAAAACATGGCTGCACCTTCAAATAGGGCCGTTACGTTACATATCGCACCTCATTGTTGTGACTTACAAAAGTGTATCCTAAGATAAATAGATAAAGTCGCTTATGCACTGCTAGAAAGTTGAGTAAAGACTCAGAGTCAGAAAATATCAATACGTAATGTGGGTAGTTTATGTAACAACATAGGAACTTTGTTTGAATTTTTAAAGTTTAACCCTGTGCGGTCACCGGTGTCCTGTTTGACAGTTAAATAGAAATATTAATCATTGTGCTATAAACCAATAAATGAATGCTTCTCAATACCACTTGGACCCAGAAGTAAAGCAGTTAAAGCAGTCTTAATTTAAAGTTGTAAAAAGTTTTTAAGATCTATACTACAAAAAAGAAATTAACTTTGGAAGCAATTAGTACAGAAACTCGATAACTTCATGGAAAACATGATAAAAATAGACGTAATTTTCCGGACATAAAATTATTTGAATACCTATAAGTTAAATTAAATCTGAGTGAGTGAGTAAGCCGAATAACATAACATCACGCCTTTTATCCCCAAAGGGGTAGGCAAAGGTGCACATTACGCCTCGCACTTAATGCCTCTGTACTGTACAATGTAACACATATTTTTCTTTGCTACTAATGAGATTTTTTAAAAACTCAGTAATACTTTGCCCAACCCGGGAATCGGACCCGAGACCCCTTACCCGTCAGTCGCAATTGTAACCACTTGGCCAATGAGGCAGCACATAATACATAAGCCAAGCCGAATACATAAAAGTTAATTTTGTATGTTTCACGAAAGCTTTAATATAAAGATGTTTATCATATTTTGGGTACATAGTAACCACTATCGTACCTACCATAAAACAAGCAGATTAAGAAAGTAATATTTATTTATTTAGACTTAGTACAAAAATATATCACAGGTGGACTTAATATCTTGTCCATTGTCTTCCAGTCGACCTTATGGTGGTGCAGAGATGAAAGTGGCAGGTGACTAAGCAAATATTAATAATAAATAACTATTTATAAATACTTACTTAGATAATTATATATACAGTCATACATATATCCAATACCTATATCATAAAATAGTACTATACACATAATTATGTAAGGAGCTGAGCTAACCATGTTATAGAACATAAAAGATTACCGAAGCTCCGGCACGAAGTTCAGGAGTAGGAACGGGGTGGTTTTTAGTCAGTAAGAGTCTGACACTCCATCCCGCCTCACCCAGGCGGGAGAGGTCATTGGTGATACCCTTAAAAAATTCAATAATATAGGTAGTTAGATACTGAATCTAATGTTATTTTAAACCAGTCAGAATTAAAGAAACGTTCCAGTAAACCTAATTAAGTAACAGACAGGTTGCTGAGCTTTGAGTGAAATACTAATTGCTTTTACAATGTTTTATCTTGATTGGCATTCACGCTAAACAAAATGTACTACATGTTCAAAGTAGTCCAGTAATGATACATTTTCTTTGTTTTTTTACACGTTTGCCAGCGTAATATCTGGTAACATTGTTAACTAATAAATCCATAACATTTTTTCTTTTAAACGTGGATGTTATTATGAAATAGATCGAAATAGAATGTTCCTTATGCTGTATCGATGTAATTAATTGTTAGCGCAACAGTAGTCATAATCGTAAATTGCTATGATTTTCGGGACTCCATATTTTTAACAAGACGAGTTCACTTTTTCAATTATTGGTACCTTTCACTTGATACTTCTAGTCTTGCAGTAGGTACCTGTGTACGCTATTGTACACGTGACACGGATATATTATATTAGTTACAAATTATATTCTTAGAATAATATGAGTACAGTTGCCACCATTCCAAAAGATTAAGAAAACTGAGAACGTATTCCTTTCTATAAGGCTGACAACGCACCTGTGACTCCTCTGGCGAAGCGGGTGTCCATGGCCGGCGCTGATGGCTTACCATCAGGTGATCCGTCCTCTCATTGGTCTCCTATTCTATTAAAAAAAATATACCAAAATCCACATTCCTTAACCTGGAACGAACTCAAGGAGTTCGTGTTCCACTGCATACTTCCTTGTTTAGACGTTTTTGTATCGTTTGTATCATTTTTGTAAGCATGACTAAGCATTTGAAACTACGTTTAGTATTAAGATATTAATACCACACACACCAATGCACGATAATCGGTAATTAATCAAGACTTTCTTTAAACGATTACTTAGCTCACGACACCGAACACATGTTATTACTTTGATGTTTACCGTCACGTAAAATAGTTTTTAACTTCCGCATTATATCGTCCATTTGATGCAGTCTATTACCGGTGCGATATAAATAAAATTGCAATAATTTGCGATTATGATGTTAGGTGCTCATGGAGTATTTTATTTGACGTTCAACCACAATATCTTGACTGTGTCATTGGTTGAGTGTCCGTAACTGCAAACAGGTTGATTTGCGCAAAGTACCTATTATTGAACATTTTATTCTCTGGTATTGGGTATTAGTATAGTTTGAACTCTGGAAACAGTCATTACTCATTTTAGTTTGGCACCATCCACTGCTGGGGTATAGACGTCACCCTCTCCATTTTAGTATACTTTCAGGTACCTCATACCTCTTCCATTAATTGCCATTTTAACGATATTATCCACTTGATTATGACTCTGATTTACCTGAGGTACCTAAATAATAAAAATAATAAAGAATCTAGTGACTAAAATGTATTAAGTCAAGCATTTTGAAGTTCGAAATTATCTTGGTGACTAACGATACAGAACCGCTTGAAACTAATTTAATTAATCATAGTGATCAAAGGATATCATAAGTCGAACTTAGTCTTTCGATCTTAACTTTCAAAAGATACACAGTTGAAACTTTTCTACAAAAGAACGTTTTAATTTTCTCACTCCAAGTGATATTGGCGAAGTTTTACTTAGTTCCAACATGGAACTCCTTGTTAGAACGGTCTCGTACATATTTAAATAGTTTTAAAGAATCTGCGATCTTCGGAAAATATTGCTGTAGGAATTTATTCGAGAATTTTATGGAAGCTAAGTTTTTTTTTATAATTATGAGACGTTACTTTGCATAGTATTTTCGAATACTAAATATGATGATTAAAAAAATGAAATAATATTGTGAAGATAAACTGCTAGCATATTGCATGATCATTTATCAGAGACAGATTTTTAAAGCGATTTTTTTTAAAATAGCATTGAATACTGACTGCCTGATATTCCATTTCGACATTTTTCATATGTAACTACAAATATACCTAGAAAAAAAATTGTTTTGTATGGTAGACTTTAACTATTTATCTAAGTAATGTAGACAAGTACATATCAAATTGCGATACTCATACCTACACTCAATTATTAAACCAATTAAAAAAAAACTAGTTAATAATTTCTAACACTCCGCAAAAAGCAATTCAAAGCAATCAAAATGTACAGACTTGATCAAATTAAAAATTCCGTGCTGCTAATGAGAATTGCTTGACAAAAACTATCTCAATTTCAGCAGTATGACATTGCCTTGAGTCAAACTGGCAACACACTTACTAAGTGAGTAAATATTTTGATCAAAATTCATTTATTAAAATATATTTTTATTTGTGCCTAGTTGTCGTTTTAATAGCAGTGCAGGCAGTGCTATGCACGAGATCTTTACTGTCGGATTCAGATCGTAAAACGTTACTGTTTTTGATTCCTAAATTCTTGGTTATATTTTTTTTTAAAACATTGCCTCACATTTATATTTTCTCCTGTGTCGTGGTTGCGTTTACAAATATACAAGTTCTCATACACAATGACATCCAGACCCGAAACAATAATTTGTGGATCACACAAAGTGTTGTTCCGTGCGGGAATTGAACCCACGACACGTTGCACGGCAGCCGGTTGCCCAGCCTCCGCACCAACCGTGCAGTTGAATATAAAATAACTCGAATAAAAAAGTGCAATATTAAAATTATGATAGTCGTATATCAATAGATTTTTCTCCTTAATTTGTACCACATCATCACTTAAAATCATATTAACCAAAGTCTTTGTAAAAACTATATTATGTAAATACAAGTAGATACTCACGTGTCCATTATTCAAATCGGCCTTTAATATTAATTGCACCTTTATTTGTTACAGGTCATCAACAAACAGGACCACCAGAGGAACTGCACACAGTGTAAAAGTGAACAGTAGATCAGTGAATGTATAACAAAGTGCTAGTTGAGTGTTTTGAGTGGCAATACGTGAGTTCACTGTCATGTGACGCATTACAATGTTGAAGATACAAATGTTAGAGTCCATCGTCAGTAATGATGCTGATGAGAGTCAGGAGCAGCAGCCGAATGGGTAAGTCATTATGCTGCGATTTAAATGATAAAATGATTTTAATGAAAGTTCGGTGCAGAGATTGATAAAACCAATGTTAAAGCATTTTTAGATTAAAATCAGTATGCTGACGATAAATTAGATAATATTCTTCATATTACAACACAATGACAAAAGTTGATATATATAGACAATAACAAAATTGATGCATATTAATAAACGTCAAGTACAAACTGATACCTGAGGATCGTACAATGTATGCACAAACATAGTTACCGCACGCACTTATGAAAACCAACACACTAGAAAATTCAGTATCACATTATACGCCATTACCGAATCTATGACCTAACCACAGAATCCAAAACAAACCACTAAATAACGTAAGTGGTTCTACCGTTGAGTACGATTCACCTACATTCTATTTCCACTATGAAGATATCGATTTCCTACAAAATAAGCGTCCCTGTGGCGCCGGTATAATTTCGCAAATAACTTTTTATTGGGACATCACAGATCGCTACCGGGTCACAGACATGTTCCGAGGACGATTTCTTACGGACACGACAAACAAATTAATAAAATTATGTATACCTAACCGACTTACTGGGAATATGATTCCTGCTTCGTATTTGTTTTAGTAAAGGTTGACAATATCTTACGTTCATTTCCTCATTCTTTATAGGTTTGTCTCTGTCATATCCTAATAAACGTGAGTTTTTGTTTAGGTATCGTTGTAATCTATCGATCTGTTTATACTCAATCAACTCAATAAATATAGTAAAACGGGATTAAACAATAACTTACAAATTCATATAAGTAAACGTACAACTGATGCGATCAGAAAACGGCAATACATTCACTACATTCCTTCTGTGTAAAACTACACTTCAATAGATACTTACTTCATTTTAACAGCATCCCACGTGATATTTATTTAAAAACTAGAAAACATTCCAAAAAACATTCAGGTACCACAAAACCCGGAACCATACCTTACAGTCCATTCATCTTCAATTCGACCTAGCTAGCAAGGATCTAGCTAGAAACACTGTTTGCGCTCGTAAAAACTAAATGAAAACATAGCGACAGGCGACACAACGACGCGACAGCAACGTCGCCCGGGCATGGCGAACAAAACAAATTCAACAGCATGTTTTATGGAGCCACCATGAAGAAAGGCCTCGGATTATAAGTTATAAGTTAGACAATGTTACTGTTTTCGTACAGGATTGATATAGCCATCGCCAAGATTACTTGCTAGATTAAAGTGGATGGATGGACTTGCAAACTCGATATAGTCAAAGTAGTTATCAAGCGAGAAATAGTATAGGCAACCTCCTTCTGTACTATTTTGAAAAATAAAATAGATTATTGACATTCAAATATTGGTAGACTGTGAAATTTCACAGATGTGTAATGAAAACAGAAACACCCACTTTTTACCAGTGTGTTGATAAATCTCAGTATTTAACTAAAAGTAAAATGTTTGGAAGAATAGGAAGATTACTACACAATTTGAAAAAAAAACACAGCTAGCAATTTTAATTATCATAATTAATCAATTCCTATTTCAAAAACAGGAGTGTCGAATTATATACTCAGTGGTGTCGTCTGGCTAGAGCTACTAGAAATACATAAATGAAATGTCGCCAGACTTTCGCTCAGCCTAAGAAGAATACTCTATTATTGAACGGGTAAGATCTTTGCCGCTGAAGTAACAAATTCTCAGAAAGCTCAATATTAGAGTACAGGAGAAGATTTCATACCAGTTCTCCTTCTGGGTTCCTGAGTATATACGGACACTAACTGTATCAATTGAAAAGTCAATCTATCATCAAAATGTACAAAAACTTTAATTGCGAGATTTAGAATTCATATAATACATTGAATCTGAATTTAGTAGTGGGTAGATGGAAAAGTAATATGACATATTTGTAGTTAACTTCTGGTGTTGATAAGTCGATCATTGCGTGAACTATGTTTATTGAATTACAACTTATATTATCGATAACTATGTTTTACAAATACATATTTAGTCGACAAATACATGTTGATTCGAGCTGAAGTGATGTAAAATAAAAACTAATTATTATTGAAATGTGAAGAGTGATGAACATAAAACTATAATGAAAAAATTTAATGTGAAATTATAAATAATGATTTACAAATATCTAAAATGTCGAAAATACTACAAAATAATTGGTGTTCCACTTTTTACTGGTGTTTCCTAGAATCTTCCAAAGACTTCAACTTATAAAGAAATGTAGGTAAGTACTATGTATAATTCTTACTTGTAGGTACTTCAATCCCATTTGCAAGGCAGGACCCATTTGAAGCTATAGTTTGTGAAATATATCTAACTATTATAATGAGTGCAGAATCTATCTATAATATAAAAATGAATCGCAAAATGTGTTGGTAAGCGCATAACTCAACAACGCCTGGACCAATTTGGCCAATTCTTTTTTTAAGATGTTCGTTGAAGTCCAAGGATAGTTCTTACGTCGAGAAAAAATCGAATAATTGCCGGGAAAACCCTTCCTGAAAATCCTACGGGAACGGGAGAAAACAGAATTGCGCGTACGAAGTCGCGGGCAGAAGCTAGTATACAAATAAAAAAATGAATTTTCGTTCTTTAGTCTCGCTAATAGTCGTGAACGGCTGACCCGATTTGGCTAATTGTGTCTTAAAATGTTCGTGGAAGTTAAGGGAAGCTTTAAAAGGTGAGAAAAAATTTGAGACAGTAAGAAATAGTTTTAATTATCGGTTAATTTAACGGCTACTATGCAGTAAAGTATAACAATTTAATTTATAAACTAGCAATTTCAAGTAAGTCATTGAAACTTAGTGTACCTTGAATAGAATATCTTGTACCTCGTAGAATATCTATAGCCTATAAATGTAACCTCTTCAATCATAATAGACATAGACCTTGCAGGCTCTCATTATAACAACCGTAATACTTCTCAATATCAGTTACGTATTTACGTCGAGCACAAAGCAAAGGCAATTGATTTTAATTTTCTATCGTCGATCGATTCATTAAACGAGGCATACCATTCACACAATTAAGTCGGTTGTACACCAACGTGCAATTAACTCGCCAGTTACCGCTGTTACACAACGGTGTGCCACCGATATTCCGTTCGGAGCAACGAGCCATGAAATATGAAGCTAGAAAAAGCGATCGTGTGTACTCAGCCTTAATTCATGTTTCGTACGCTTGATACAGAATGTGTACGAAAATGTTAATGGAATATTGTTTGTTGATTGGTTTTTCTCGGAATATTAAGTTTATTTTTTTGCAAATTGGGTTCAAAATAATGTAAGTGGTTTTAAATTAATTATGACTTTGGAAATTGACATGGTTTTCTTTGTATTAAAATTATACATATAGGTATGTGTGTCAAGTCGAGTTGAAAATGGTGGCGGTTAGGATCTCGAGTGTCCTTATAACTGGTGACATTAAATCTAAATTTTTTATATATACCTTATATACATTGGTAAAATTTAGTTAAGAAGAATAAATATTTATAATGCCGTGAATTTTATCAATGTATATTTACCATTGTAGGTGAGAAATTAGGTTAAATATTTGCACTATGAAAACATAGCTTTTCTTCCTATACAAACATAATATCTTGGAAACGATATCACCAAGAAACTACCGCTAAGCACATACCACACAAAGTTCAAGCGTAACTAAACTCAATTTAGTCAAACCCCGAGCGCTTATGAACGTTGAAATCCACCACAGTAATCCCAAACATGGGCCCGATGGAAACAGAAGCCCCGGGTCCCGTTGTACCCCAAAATAACCTGTTAGGGACCTTAAATAATAACGGTGAGAAACTCACAAGCCTTCATAATGATTTCTACAAAGTAAATATAGAGGGAAATCTGTTTTCTAATGGTGAGAAACTGAGAAAGGAAAAGCCGCGTTCCCGGTAAGTCTCGGCTTTATTTCATTTTCTCTCACACTGTGTGATGTTATAAGTTTTACTGTTGAATAATAAATTGTTGGAGAGTCGTAATAGACACACATAATCGTCACAGTGGTATTCACTATTTCCTTTATGACAGGTTAATTGATGAACAGACATAGCGTAACGACTTCGATAGGAAACGTGCGAAGATGTCATCGTGTCGCGATCGAAGTATTTGAAACAGTTATAAACTGCAATTTATAATTTATGTTTTACGGCTTAAAGTGGTACTTACTCTAGTTTGTTTATTAGATTGCGATTCTCATAACACAATTTCTTACTTGGTAATAAAGCAAGAGGTCAGGCACTAATACACTTTAACTCCAAAACAAAGGTAACGAATTCAAAACAGTCATAAATAGGTGTTCGGAATACCAATTTACAATGCCGTGCAAGTAATGGCCGTATGCCTGTCTACTGCAAACACTAGGATAGTCCATGTTTCTCTAAAGTGACTTGTACAACATGCAACGCAGGATAAAGGGTGATAGATGATACACCATGTTCGGCCTGAAATACGCCCGAAATCGAAACTCGAACAAAATACATTTGCACGGCTACGGGTAGATATTGCGGCGAATATTTTGGTGAACTTTGGTTCGTACGGCACAACCAGATTAGGTACTTATTCTATTTATAAAACAACTTCCAATTACGTCTATTGAACTACTAAACAATTTCAATCATTTATTTTTTCCACTCATTACACGTAGGGAAAACCTGTGTTGAGAAAGGCTGAACTCAAGACTTGATTTGTCTAAATAGTATAAAATAAATCGTGTTGACCCTCAAAACGTCACCGTAACTCATAGTAATTAGGGTAGATACTTGAATAAATAAAAAATGAACATTGTCCGGTATAGATATAGGTCATGTAGTTAATTACTAGGTAGGTACCTCGTCTTGTGCCTACGTAACGTCCAGCCCCTATTGCATATCAAATTCTGGCATAGATTGTCAATTCAGTGCCAATCATCTTTGAGAATCACCAATGTGTACTGCACATGAATATTGTCTCGTTAACTGCCACTG